CAGACCACCTGCTAATGCAGTGGAAAACTGCTCAACATGGAAGCGGAATGGAAAAAATGAAGTTTTGTCCCCCCCATCAACTCTGTCTTCATTTTGTCAGTATTTTTGTGACAGTGATTTTTTTTGTTGAATGATAACAGATTTGCTGTCACAGTGTATGCTGCCCGTTGTATTTTAGTGTTCATATTAAACTGTAGTTCAAACAGAAGGAAAAAAGTTATTTGTTCTTTATTTTGCTTTGATCTGCAGGACAGCCTCATCTTGCAGCCATTGCTTTCTCATAGAAAATCCAGTCTGTTTGGGGATGAACCCGTTCACATTCCAGTGTTAATCTTGAATTTCTAACCTTTAAATCTAGATTAAATAAAGTAACTGAATGAGAAATAATTTAAATTAATTGAAACTATAAAAGATTGGCGTCCCATGAGATACTGCATGGTCCAGGTGTGTGCAAAGGGGTGAGAAGTCAGGACACCTCAAGCGCCCTCTAGAATTTGCCGTTATCTCAATGTCACCCACCAAGTCCTTTAATTTCTTTTATTTCTTAAGTTGTTCCTAATTCATACAAAAATGATCTAAATCATGAAATTATTCCATGGCTTAATTAGAAGTGTGAAAAAAGTAGTTCCTCTGGGGTAAATGATAATATGGTCAAAGCTTTCAGAAATAGGTTGTTGCTGCACACGTATTTTGGCACCTAAAGGTGGTTTCATTCTGCAGAAGTTTCTCATTTACCCATTTCCACCACTGTCCTACTTCCTCAAAACCATGATACTCTTTTATTTGTGTGCTATAATCTCCAGGCAGGACAAGGGAAGTTCCTGAGGGATTTTGAAGCCCTTCTTCACAGAGGCTAAGAGTGGGTCCCTGGGCATGTTGGAAGGGTTGAAATTACCTCTTTTCCATCTGAAAGGAATGGAACATCCCAACCATTGCAGACACCTTTAAAATCATAACTTTTAATCAATTAACCTCTTTCCTCTATTTAAAAAAACCCTATAAATCTATATCAGAGTGTGAAAATACTTTTTGATCCATATTTTTGGGGAGGAGGAGAATATAACTTCCCCAAAAATTTTCGCAGAGAAACACCTTCCTTGGTATTTCACAGAATCAAAAAATCCCTGTTTTCTTGTGTCCTTCACAGAAATCCTGTTTTCCATGCATGAGATTTCAGATAAAACCTCATGATTCAAAATTCAAGATTGATCCAGAAGGTTTATGAGTCTCTTTTAGGCTCAGTGTGATGACAATGGAAATACAGGCACATATGGGGCAGGTCTTGGGAACATCATGTCATTATAAGCAGCATGTGGTACCTGCTAGGAGAGGTGGGGTTTTAATCCAGAACCCTCTCTGAGCTGCAGACCTGTAGCATTCTGGTTTTCCAACATCTCCTATATTGTTTTTTTCCCTTTTTATTGTGTAACACTGTTTGATGATGCTTAATGGAAGCTATGCCCTTGAAACAAAAAGTCCTGTCACGTTGATCGTGTAAAATGCAGTATTTTCAGAACCCAAACTTCTTTAGAGAACTTTCTGCACAATTAATTTTTAACCCTCAATAAGGAACTGTAATAAATTCTTGGAGATAAACAGTTTCCTTCATTAATCATGATTTTAAAGGCCATAATAATCCTTTTTAGGGGAAAAAATTCTCTTTTAGCAAGCCTGCCACACTGATAGTTCTGGGAAACCTTTTTGCAGAGGTGGGGAATTTGCTGTAGGTTATATTGCAGTTAGCAAGAAAACAAGCAGCCTTGTCTTTCTGACTTTCTGTTATTTATCTATTCATGTGTGAGCCAGGAGGGGTTTAGTGGGAAGCTGGACTGAGCCATTAAGGGTGGATGAATTCAGCTGCATGTTTGAAATGATGGTAATTGCTTGCCCATCTATTCAGTATCATTTTTGACTCTTTCCTGACTCCAGCAGACTGTGGGAGTGTCTTTGCTGCCTTTCCCTTGCTGATGGTCCCTCCTACCATTTCTTTCTTCTTGCCTTATGCCTCTGAATCTCTGTTTAAAACTTCATCTTCATCTGTTCCCTCCCTTCTCTTTCCTTCCAGAGCTTCGCTTTATTTCATGCACTGACTTGTTGCTCTGTGAACACAGGAGCATTTACAGTGCCCAGGATAGTGCAGGATAACTCACATCTGCCTCCTCACATCCCCCTCCTGCCTTCCTGGCAGATCCACCCCAGCTCTCCCCCCTGCATTGCCCGGGGGCTCTTCCCAGCACCAGCAATTTTATGCCATGGCCTCATATAAAAATCAATGTAAAATAGTGTCCTGTCAGTGCCCAGGGTTGACATATGAGCAAACATTTTAGCTGAGCTCCAGCTTATTTCATGCTTTAATGAGAAAGGTTAAGGAGATATGGCATTGGGTTTTATGAGGATCTCAGAGTTCCTCCCCAAAATTTCATTTAAATTCACAGAGGCTTTTTCCAACCAGTGTCTGTCCTGGTAAGTGGAGAAAGAAATCCAGCAAAATGATGAAGCCAGCTGAAATAGAGTCATTGCCCAAAGCTGGCTTTCTTGTATAGAGGGATATAAAGGGATTTCCATTATTTTGTTGTCTGAAAACAACAATGAAATCCAGATTGAGATGGGAGCTCCCTGTGTTTTCATAGCATCATAAACACTGGGAGAGCTGTGTGATCAGTAGAGGACTGGTATGCTTATGCTGCTTCTCACAGCATTTAACTGAAGGCAAAAAGGCTGTTCAAGACACAGGTGGAGTGAAGTGCAGTGCTGAGAGCTTAAGCAGATGGGACTTTAGGAGTTAGTGAAATATCACTGGGAGCAGCCCTGTAAATTTCTGAATGCTCTGGTCTGTAACCAAAACTGGTAAGCACTGAGAGGCCTTAGGGCTTCCCAGCAAAAGGATTCTATCACATTTCTGGTCTGGCTGTCCCAGGGATGAAGGCCAGGATGAAAACCTCATTTGGTGAGTAAAATAACTGGGACTGTTGATAAGAGGAGAGCAAAGAACAGGTCGTTAAAAACACTTTGGGTGGCTTATTTTTGCAAGCCCTTTGGATCAGTTGGGTGGATCCTAAATTGGAGCCTGTGGTGCTCTGATGTGCCATGCTAGATCATACTCAAAGCAGGAAACAGTGAATCATTCTGGTACTCAGTGGCATAAATGTGGTCATAGGCTGTCCTTCTCAGTAAAAATGATGCAAAATGTTCTTGGTTCAGGGGTTCACTGCCCCATGTAGACAATCTGTCAAACATCTGCCGTAACAGCATGCAAAAATCTTCCTTCATAACATTCTTAAACTTCCTATCACTATTTTCCTATCATTGCTGGCTGCAAAAGCATTTCTGGATAAGCAAGCACTTTCTTTCCAAAGCAGCAGTCTCTTCCTTTTGCTTATGCACTTATCCAGAGGCTTAATGATTCATTTGGCTGTTTTGCAACTCAGGAACTGATGGTGAGGTCACAGCCGCCTGGTTGTGTCATCGAAGTGCATGACAAAAAAGGAGGAGGCTGGCCAGGAAAGGAAATACTTTTGTTTATCCACAAACATCTAAATAAGCAGAAGTTGTGGGTAATGAAAGCCAAGGAAACTTGGTGGTAGCAAAATGAGGCTGTGATCAAACATCAACCTTTTAAGAGTGGGTTGGATGCTCAGCATGCTCCTGAGAATTTATCAGAGAGAGCTATGTAGGAGAACAGAATAATCTGCTGATGGGGGGGATGGGGAGGAATTATAAGAGAAAGAGCATTTTTATTTTGTAGAAACAAAATATGAACCTTGGTGGTTCATATCATTAAAGAATGGTTTGAGTGAGAAGGAATTTTAAAGATTCAGTACCATACCATGGGTAGGGACACCTTCCACTAGACCATGTTGTTCAACCTGACCCTTCAGTTGTCATTGGGTTAGAAAAGTCCTTGGATCTGATCTTGCTTGGACAAAGTGGGTGCTTCAGGAGGAGGTTTTGGTGAAAAGGAGCAATGATTTGCTGTTCCTCATCGAGCCAATGCTCTCTCCTGCCCAGTATCTTGCTGCTAAACATGTAACAAGTTCCAGAATGTAAGAATAGTCGAATGTAGCACAGCAAAGTCCAGAGTAGCAGTGTCTGAATGATGCTCAAATGCTCAAAAACCTCTTAAGAACCAAAAAAAAGTGTATATAGCACTGACTGTAACACTTTCCTGGTCTCTTTTCAGTCAGTCAGGTCCAGATGCTTTGGAGGAAGCATTAAGAGTGCAAGAAACAATACAGTATTATGAAATAACCTGATGAAGGAGAGGCACTGCCCACCCTTGGCAATTAGTGACTGGCTGCTGTGATGATGTTTCTTTATTTGTGTAATCCTCTCTGGGGTAACCATAGGGAGGCTGCTATTAAGGCCAACGTTTGGATTTGTGATTTAATCTAATTCTTTGGCTTTAGTGGTTACACACATCAGTTTGTGTTGTGGAATAACTCTGTATACACAGAGAAATTCTGACGCTGCTTCCCCGCCTGAGTCAGGGTTGAGCCAACGGTGAGGAGACACTCTGGGCTGCCAGGGAGGACCAGAGTGGGGGCCCTGACCTCTTGTGGTGACTGAGGAACCCAGAGCACTCTTGGCACTGGTGTGTCTCAATCCTAGGGACTTTGTGCTGCTAGGTGAATTAAACCTCCAAAAATCTTGGAAAGGGGAAAGGTACATCATCCACCTAGTCAGCTGCCAGGCTGTGGTCCATGCCCCTGTGTGCAGGAATGGTACTTTCTCATTTTCAAACTTTGCTTATATCTCTGGTGGACTGTGCTATTTTTATAAAGTTGTTGTATTTGGTAAGCCTTTAATGTTTTGTCTGACTGCAAATGTCTGCATATGTTTGTAAAGGCAAAGCAACATGCTCATCGTGCCATTGCTGTGATTAGCAAGAGCAGCTTTCAGGAGACACCAGAACTATATTTGATGGCTGTGTGTCACTGAACAGCTTTCAAAGAAAAAGCACCACTTTAAACCATGGCTTTTCTTTTCTTTTCTTTTTTCAGGGGTGCATTCTCCGAAGTGGTTTTGGCCGAAGAGAGAGCGAGTGGGAAACTCTTTGCAGTCAAGTGCATTCCCAAGAAGGCACTGAAGGGAAAGGAAAGCAGCATAGAGAATGAAATTGCTGTGCTCAGAAAGTGAGTATCAGGCCTTCATTTCTGCCTCTTTGCTTCAGTTAGACTCTTGCATTTAAGGAGCAGGAACAGTGACTGACAAATGTGAAGGATAGTTTCTTCAGCCTGTCACAGGCGGACAAGATGACCTGAGTGTAAATGGTGCTGAAAATGTTTTGAGGAATGCTCTGGTTTGTTTTTGTGTTAAGGCAACCAAGTAACTGCAAAGTGGGAAAGGAGTTAGGCTGCAGTAAAGTCTTTGATGCCTTAGGAAGTCATTATCCACTAATAGTATCAGCAGTTGTGTCAAGGGCTTTGAGGAGAGTAGGAGTAGGTTATAATTTTCAAATGCAAAAATTATTCTGTATACTAACTGCTCTGGAATTATGACATGCTGTGGATTTTCATTGGGGATGGTGGTAACCTGTGCCATGGAGAGGTACCTCTACCACTTGTGGAAGGAGATTTCTCAGCGTTGTCCACAGTGGGAAGTTTTTCCTCACTGTGGCTGGAACACACGACAAGAAAAAGGCATTTCACAATTTCTATGAACTCACTGTAGTCATTAGAGGCTTGATCCTTACCTCTCCCTCATCTTATGCCCTGAAGGTGGGATTCATCTCACCAGACCCGAGACATTTGGCTCTGAACTCATCACCCTTGACTTTCTTTCTAGGAAATGAAGAGAGATTGGTCACTGCAGGATTAGTTTGTGTAGTTTGTTTTAAACTTCTAAAAGTATCTTACGTTCTCATTGAGTTAAAGGTAGTACATTTATGTAAGAACTCCATGTTGGACTGGAACATTGATTCCTGCTGCACTGCTGTCCCAGGTGGGACTTCTTGCCCCAGGTTTTGGTCATGTCAAAGCTGATGGCTGATTGTGTGGGCACCTGTGACAAAAGAGATGCTGAAATCTACCTGGATGGACTGAGTGCTCAGACAGCCTAAGCCAAAGGAGCTGGTTCAAGGGCAAATTCAGTGACCTCAGTAGACAGAGGGGATCCTCTTAAGTGGAGGGACATGAATGGGACTCCAAAGAGCTACAAGTATTTGCAGCAGTTGCTTTTCCATTGCTGGGCCCACCTCAGGTCAGTACAACGTAAACCCAGCGACAAATGCAGCCTGTTGTCTTGCTGTGTAGTGTTATTGAGAACCTGTCATAAAACTCAACCATTGCTGCCTCCATAACCAGATAATTATGACCAATAACCGCAGGTGGAAAAAGTCTTTATGTGTATGGGTTTGTCCCCTGGTACTCATGTGTGGGGTAGAAGAGCAGCAATATTGACATGCAGTAAGAATTGCCTTGCATCAGCCTTGAACCTAGGCTGGTAAAGCAGAGAAATCATTTATATTATTTCTTGCTTCTTTGTTGTGAAATGTTTCTGTTCCCTGCAAACAATTTCCTGAGAAACCAGGAGGCAGCACCCGGGCTTTGCTATTCCAGCTGCAAGGGCAGGAGAGTGAGTGGGTGGAAAATTCCTTAATTTCAGGCAATTAGATCTACTCAGTCTCTTGTCCTATGCATGTTAGGACCTTAAAAGAGATTTTCCTTTTTTTTTTTTCTTTTTCTTCTCCTGGTGTCTTCTACTTAGCTGTTGCTAATACAAACTTTGCATGCCATTGTCTTTATTCTGAAAATAGACATCCTTGCTTGCAGATGCAGAATTGAATTTGTATGTGCCACCAAGGAAACATTTAGAAAATAACAAACTAGATCTGCCTACAGTTGAGGAGAGGGTATATCAATCTGTTTCTCTGTTCAATGAATTCTCTGCTTCAAAAGCTGCCAGTAAAAATAGATTTGAGAGAGGTTGAATGGATCCTCAGCATCTGTTGCTAAGCTCCAAAGGTATCTAAGATTCCTTGCTTTTGTTTCTGGTAGCTTAACACTGAGTAGGGAAGGCTAATTTGTGTGTTGTCTGATGACTGGGTGGGTTATCAGAGCCCTGGGCTGCCCTGCATAGCTGTGACACAGCCTTAATGTGTCATTAAGAACCTCTTCTAAAGAGGATGTGCACAGAGCATGCCTGGCAGGAGGAATTGGTCTCTGTGCCCTGAGGAGGGTGAAGAGCAGAGGGGGATGGATGCAAAGTGAACATAAAGATGTGCCTGTGTTGATCCTGGTCTCCCTTTCTGGTTTTGCATTATGTCTTTTGAGAGTGCTTAAACTCTGCTAGGATAAAAGTCTCAAAGGTCAGCCTGCCTTGCTAATTTGTTCAATCACTAGATTTTTGCCCTCCTAGGATCAGTACCTGCAAGTGCCACCTATACTTTGCATCCCCAGACTGTGCTGGTGAAGGTTTGTCACCTTGCCAGTCCTGTCAAATCATTCAGATCTGGCAGAATCTATATGGAATAAAGTTTGAATGATGTTGTGTGTTGAGGTTGTATTTTAAACAACATTTTTGAAACTCAGGATTAAAAATCTGGGCATGGAGTACCATAGGCAGTAGACCCTGGCGATGAAAGCATGAATCCAGTGACCAAAAGCCTTGGGTCCCCTCTCAGCTCTGCTGCTTTCCTTCTGTCGCAGGAGTTATTGTCTGTCTCAATATTAATTGTCTGTGAACCAGCCTTTATTCAAAGGACTTTTGAATAAACATTTTTACCTGCATTTATTTTCCTGTCCTTTCCTGTGTCAGCAGACACAGAATGGGTGTGACAGGGGAGGTTTCTGAGATGGGCTTTTCATGTGAAACAAGAACTTCTGTCAGTCCTTCTGTGTGTCTGAACTAAAAAGCTGTTGGAAGTATTAACCCAATACTCTGTGTAGGGGAAGGTCAGTGATCCCCATGCAAAGTACATGGAAGGTAGGAGATGTTATCTCTCTGTCTGTGGGCTTGGATGCTCTTGCTGCCAAAACAAAATGACACATTTTAGAAGCGATGTTCTGCTAACAGAGGAGAGAGCTGCCAGCCAACTGATCTGCATGTTTGTGTGAGTGCCAGAGTGAATCATGCATACTCCATAATTCTGTTTTTCCAGCCATGGCCAACAAATCTGTTCTTAAAAAAGAAAAGAGGCGGAAGAGCCGTTAAGTCAATATTTACGCCTAGCAACCTTAACAGGGTTCTTCCAATATGGACTCTTTTGTGTCCTGTGGAAATCCATGGCAACATTCCCCAAAGACTCAGATGGGTGGGGACAGAGTGGGAAGGAGCTCTCTCTTGAGTGCTGTGCTGGGAGAGACTGAGTCTGCAGTTAATCCAGGAGCCTGAGCCTGACAAAGCATTTAAGCATGTGTCTAATTTTAGAAAATTCTTAGTTCCAGTGAAATTGTTGAGGAGGCTGAACCCACCTTGCTGAGCTCAGGCCTAAAAGGAGGCTTCAGAGCAGGGTGAGTGTCCCACTGAGCAGCTGTGTTTGGTAACATATCTCAGGAGAGGAGCCTTCTTAGTGTCTTCAGTTAAGACATAAAGACATGGAAAACATGCTATGGTTTAGAATCTGTTTCAGGAAGAAAATGGCATCTCTAGGACAGGACTAGCACAGCTCCATTAACCACCTGGCAGTGGGGAACAACAGCACACAGTCGCCTTTGCGTGACACAGACTTTTTCTGACCTGACATGTGGGGAGTTTCATAACCTGCCCTGAAAACAACCGTGTTCTGGTTTTGAGCAGAAAGAGAAATGTAATCCTTTCTACTGTTTGCTGCAGAATAGTGGAAATTTCTTCCGCTTATGGTAATTGTGCAGGTGTGAACGTGCTGAAAGAGGAATCATCTGCTAGACGGGTTCCTGAGGGAAGTACGTGGTGTGAAGAGTTGGGATGCGGGGAAGCAGCAGTCTGAGGCTCTAGTTAAATAGAAAAAAAAACCCAAAAAACAAAAGACAATGCTTATAAGAGTCAGAGACAAACATGCCCGATTTGCTTGTTGGTTTTATTCTTTTTTTTTTTTTTTTTCTTAGCTACACCATTATTTATCAGCAGAAACTCTCTCTGTTACCGTGGGTAATACCTGCACGATTGTACAGACTCAGTGCTGAGTCAGAGCAAAGCAAGGGAAGGAACTATAAACTGTGTGTAGCCCTGCACCCAGGTGTATTGATTGCTTAATGGTAGTGATGTGCAAATGGAAGTGCCTTGTTAAGCAATACTGTTTATCTAGCAAATCATACTCTGCTTTTTCACAGTTTCTGCTGAACAGGGATTTTAAAATAATTTCTAAACTACTTAAGTATCTCTTATGCTCTCCCACTCCTCTTTACTCTCCTAGATCCTCTGGAAGAGGCTCCATTAAATTCCTTATTACAAATCAGATCCATGCCTTATTGGGGTCTGAAGCTGCTTTTCCTGTGAAGCAGCTTGAGGGAACTGTTCCTAGCAGGTCAGCTAAAATTCTGCCAGTGCTTTCCATTGTTCTTTCCTCGGAGGACAGGGGGATGGGGTGTTCATGCAGTGATTCATGCCCTGGCTCTGCCTCGCTCCATATATCCCTGCTCCTACAGCCAGGAGCTGCTGCTGTAAGAAGGAGCAGGGATAGAGGAGGGGAGACATCCTCCTGCAAAATCTGGGAGCTCAGGGCTGTACCCATCAAAAGCTGAACAAGGAGCAGCAATGAAAAGGTTTCCCAATGTGGGTGAAATTGTGGAAGCTCCTGCTCTCACATAAATCAAAGGATGGTGAAAATGCAGTACCTGATGTTAAAGAGGACACCCTTGATAACAAATGCAGAAGAATCACGCCTCCTCAAGATTTACATGAAGGCTAAAAAAATAATTAAATAAATTGAACCTTTTTGCTCCTTTTCAGCAGCCCATTGATAAGTTCCCTATAAAACCTCTCTGTCCCAGATTCTTGTCTCTGTTAAGGCCCCATCCATCCAGAGCTAACCCCATAGCCTCTGGGAAGATGAATCCAAATTTAGTTTTGAAACCTATTAGTTACCTCTTATTAAACTCTTCTGTGCAATTTAACTCAGAATCAAAGGCTACACTAATTCTGAATAAAATTGGCCATGCAGAAGTTTAACGTGCCCTAACAGAAATTCTGCCATCTAATTAATTCAGATGAACGT